GCGACCCTTTTATAATAACGTTCCTGCAAATTATCAGCCAAGACCGTCTCCATGTTATCATTTAGAACCTCTAAATAACTTCCCAGGAAATTATCAATTAAGACCGTCATCATCTTATCAGTTCGAACCTCTAAATAACGTCCCAGTAAATTATCAATCAAGACCAACACCATCTTATCATTTCGAACCTCTAAATAACGTCCAAGTAAATTATCAATCAAGACCAACACCATCTTCACTTCGAACCTCCAAATAACACGCGACTTTACATCGATTACCCCCGACTGATTCGAGAGTAAATTATCCACCTATTTCAGAAATACGTTATCCAAACAAAATTAGATATGAAGATTCACAATGGTAGGGCAATGATTCCAATAGAAGATCATGAGTTATTGCGATTGCTTCCTTTTTTTCTCACCGGAGTTGCTGCTCGATGGTTCGAGGCTCATAAACATAGTTGGCGTACGTATCATCAATTTGCTATAGCTTGTCGAGAGCGATTCTGTGATTCGGATTTCCAATTTGAATTAAAACAGGAAATTAATAGACGCACACAGGGAGACCGCGAACCTATGGCAGATTACTTGACCAACATGATGGTCATGTTTAATAGAGTTAGTCCAAGGTTATCCGAGCAAGATGAGATCAGCTATGCTCATCGCAACATGCTTCCCCGTTTAGTTATCTCTATCCCTCGATCTAGTATTATAAGTTTTACCCAGTTAGAGCGAGCTGCAATAGCTACAGAGAAATCTTTCAATATCTCAAGATCATATCGCCCCCCACCTCGTCCTGAAAGATCATTACTTCCAGATCTTGCCTACCACGAACCTCCAAGAAGTTCCCAAAGTAAGCGTAAAGAAGCTCTCAATATGCTGCATTTAGATTATGAGGAATCGGAAGAAGATTCTGACGATCAATTATTGTTGTCTAAAGAAATGACTAGAGTTCCTTCACGTAATAAATCTTCAAAATATTCCCAAAGTAAACCGAATAAACCACAAGTTAATTTACCTGCTGCTCAATCCCTTGATAAAGATAAAACAGCTTCCCAACCTAGTGTTACCAAAACGTTACCAACAGAACCTCAAGTTGACCCTAATTCTCCAGTGGTCTGTTGGAATTGCGATCGTCCCGGTCACCGCTTTAATATTTGCCCCGAACCCAAAACAATTTTTTGCTACAAATGTGGTAATAAAGGAGTAGTTCGTACTAATTGTCCCCGATGTGCAGGAAACGAAACCAGGAATCGTTAGACCGGACAAATCCGATTCCTGCAGTGATAGAAGTGTCCGAAAATTCTCCAGCAAATATCCTTAGTAAAAAGGATAACCCTAATTTTGTAGAAATTGAATGCTTAAAGTTAAATACTAAATTAACAGGATCTAGTGGACTTTATATTCCAAAAAATTTAGATATATCAATTTTTTATGAATTAGGCAAGTATTATATTGCAAGAAAGAAGCTTCCTAGAATTGTGGGTAATGAGGATTTTGTTATTAAAGATGGTCAAGACCTTCCCTTGACAGACTCATCACTTGAAGATTCTCTTTCTACTTGCTATACGGCCCCCTCTGTTTCCCTAGACCCTTTAACGAACTCCAACGACGAAACCTTTCCTTCTCTAACAATTTTCTAAACTCCTATCATTTGCGAAACAAAGAATCCAAAAAAGAACCGTAGAGAACATTATCGAAGAAATGTTAACAATAAACCTCCGAATACCGTTCACTTGTCGGTTATACGATACCCTCTCTCAAATATCTCTAAGCGACAATCTTTAATGTATATGACTATTAAGATATTAGGTCATTCCTTTAAAGCTCTCGTGGACAGTGGTGCAACTCGCACATTTATAGGTCCTTTGGGTCTCGAACTCGTGAAAAAACATAATCTGGAATCACGTTCTGTTGATAGCAAAGTTCAGTTCGCTAATGGAAATGTGACCATTATTTTACGGGAAATATTGTTACCGATCAATCTAGAACATCATCACGAGATCATTTCAGCCAAAGTTCTTGATTCTTTGCCGGTAGACCTATTGGTCGGGTTAGATTTTCTAAAATCCTTCGGCATTAGCATAAATTTCGGAGACAGAAATTGGTTTTTTAGTAGTCGTCCTGATGAAGTTTTCGATTTAGAATCTAACGAGGAAATTCCGGATGCCTGTAACGAAGTGAGCTCCATTAGGAGCTCACTTCGTTACAGGCGGATCGTTTGGCCGATTTCTTGTCAAAAAATCTCCCAGAAGCTCCTACTAAGCCCGGACTAACCAATAAAGTAGAGCATGTGATAAATGTTAAAGATCACCCCCCAATCAAACAAAGATGTTATATGGTATCCCCTACAGTTATGGAGGCGATCATGGCTGAATTGGAACAAATGATAAAGGATGAAATTGTTGAACCTTCCAACAGTTCCTGGTCAAATCCTATCGTCATGATTCGTAAACCCTATATGACTTACAGATTCTGTCTTGATTTCGTAAACTAAACGCGGTCACCGTAAAAGATGCCTATCCCCTCCCCTTAATGAATAATATTTTGAATAAACTGAGTTCAGGCCATTATATTTCCAAAATAGATCTACACAAAGGTTTCCTTCAAATTCCCCTGCACCCCGATAGTAGGCAATACTCTGCATTTTCGATACCTGTCAAAGGATTATTTCAGTTTAAACGAATGCCTTTTGGCCTAACTTACGCCCCGGCCACTTTCCAGAGGCTTTTGGATGGTTTGATAAGACCTAAAATGGAACCTTACTGTTTTGTGTATCTGGAGGACATAATTCTTGTTACGGCCACCTTTGAAGAACATTTAGAACGACTAAAGGAAATATTGGATATAATTAAGGAAGCAGGACTCGTCATCAATAATTCTAAATGTGAGTTTTGTACCTCTCAAGTTAAATATTTGGGATTTATTGCTGATGAAAAGGGATTGTCTGTTGACCCTGACAAAATAGCGCCAGTTGTTAATTATCCTGTATTCCGTAATGTTAAAGAGTTGCAACGTTTCCTGGGCATGGCATCATGGTACCGAAGGTTTATCTCAAATTATTCAACTATCGCGACCCCTTTAAATAAACTTTTAGGTAAAAAACAAACTTGGTCGTGGACAAATGACCAGCAATCAGCATTTGAGAGATTAAGATCTATGATCGCTGATGCTCCCGTCCTGTCTAGGCCCAATTTCAATAAAACATTCGTCTTACAGACTGACGCTAGTGATGTAGGAATAGGCGCTGTTTTGACCCAAAACATCGATAATGTGGAGCACGTAATTGCATATGCAAGTCGCTCTTTGACTATGGCTGAACGCAACTACTCTACTACAGAAAGAGAATGTCTGACTGTCGTCTGGTCGATAAACAAATTTCGTGCTTACCTATAGGGATATGAATTTAAGGTCATAACAGACCATAGCAGTCTACTCTGGTTAGATAGGTTAAAAAACCCAACAGGTCGTCTCGCTCGCTGGTCTCTCTCCCTTTTAGGTTATCGTTTCGAGATACTTCACAGAAAGGGTGCTAACCACCGTGTCCCTGATGCCCTATCGAGAATACCTTCCGCGGAATTACCAGATGAATCCTTCTCTTCAGACGAGAATCTCTTTCTTTGTGAATCACCCCCTTCCCCAACTTCTTGGTATGTTAGAAGATTCCTAGCAGTTACAGAATTCCCCGATAGGTATCCGACTTGGCGACTACTAGATAAGAAACTCTATCACTATCGTCCCGATACAGTTTTATCTCCCATAATTGATGATTTAAATAAGTGGAAATTAGTACCAAGTGACGAAGAACGTAACCAAATATTATGTGAAACTCACAACGATTCTCAATCAGGACACCTGGGAATAGAAAAGACTTTTAAGAAACTTTCCCGAGATTATTTTTGGCCCGGATGCTATCAGGATATAATCAATTATATCAAAAGATGTGATACTTGTCTTAGGTGCAAAGTCGATCAACGACTTCTCCTTGGATTCTTAGGTTACTGAACTGTTGAAGAACCTTGGGTTATTGTCTGTGCTGATATAATGGGACCATTCCCCAAAAGTTAATTTGGCTTTCCAATATATATTAGTACTCCAAGATGCATTTACAAAATGGATAGAAATTGCTCCTTTAAGATCGGCCAATGGTAATTTAGTTAAAAAATCATTTCAAAGCCTAGTTTTGAATCGCTGGGGAACGCCACAAGTCTTGGTTACCGATAATGGGGCCGAGTTTGTCAATAATACAATCAGGTCGTTCACTCTCGAATATGGTATACATCACTCGACTACACCCCCATATCATCCGCAAGCGAATCCTGTGGAGCGAGTGAATAGAGTTTAAAAAACTATGATCGTGTCTTACATAAACGATGATCACCGTACCTGGGATTCACACTTGTCTGAGTTTCAATTCGGTTATAATACCGCCCACTACTCGTCCTTAAAAACCTCACAAGCATTTCTCAATTTGGGAAGAGACCCAAAACCAATTAATTCCCTGCGCAAGGTCATAGAAGGTGACCCTGAAATCAACGCTACAGATCCTATAGAATGGAAAGAGCGAATGAGTAAACTTCAAATTTTGAAAGATTGGGTGGTCAGGAATCTAGATCAAGCCTTTCAAAAACAATAACATTATTATAATTTGCGTCACCGTCAATTAAAATTCCAATTGAATGATCTTGTCTTAATGAAGAATAGAACTCTTTCCTCTAAATTGAAAAATGTAGCTGCCAAACTTAATCCCCGTTACATTGGCCCTTATAAAATAACCAAAATCTTATCCCCCACAGTATACGAATTGTCCAACTTATCTCAAAAAAAAATTGGAAAATACCACGTACAAGATCTTAAACCGTTCCTCCACCCTGATAACGAAGATAATTGATAGATTCCTCCTCTAATAAACTACATTTAACTCTTAAAACTGATTACTACTATTTTAGGGTTACAGTTGCTAATGTGTCACATTTTTAATGATTCCTTTTTTTGTTTAAGGTTACCTATAATACATTATTCCCTTTGGTCATAGACAATAAATTGGGTTACCAAAGATGTTACCGGAAGATTCGAAAGAGGACTTGCAACAACAATTTTTAGACCACGTTCATTCCCTGAAGGAGAAACTAGATGAGAGTACGGAAAGAAATGCAATTTTGGCTGAGCAGTCCCATAGAGCTCACGCTTAGACTTAGACTTAGACGATAAGGATCTGACCCCCGAGGAGTTACGTTATGCAGTTACGTCATCCAGGTTGGGGATATCTCAAACCTTTCGCTAAAGTTATCAAAGAGTGGAGTAAACTTTGTCCGGGACTGGAAATCGCTGTTGTTGAGGCTATTAACGCGGAAAAAGAAGCTAGTCTCGCACAAGGAACCAGTTTAGTAACTGACGTAATGTCTGATGAAGCGTTATTAAATGAGTTTAAATTAAAATTTAATTTAGTTGAGCGTCCTATACCCCCTCAGTTACACGATGTTTCCTCACAGACTGATCACAGACCCATTGCTTCGTCTTCCTCCACTCAGACATCCCCATGTGCTGACATACAGTTACAACCAAGCCCTCCTGCTAGCGGTTCTATTCTCAATCTTCCCTTTATTGATCTTACTTCACCCGGTTCCGATAACTCTCCTCCTGTTGTCCAAACCAGGTCACAATTAAATACAGGTACTATTCCAAAAGTTCGCACAAATTCGACAAACACTTTTGGAACCAACACCTCAGACACCTTTCCGAATTCCGAGTCATCTGATTTTCGACGAACTTGTCGCTCACCCAAACGATACAACTCTGACGATGCACCCATATTAAAAGAAAATTTTGTTAGAAATAAAAAATCAAAGCCACACCCAGCTGAACCTTCTTGTTCAGATTCAACTTGCTAGCATTCCAAATCACAAAAATCACCCCCTAAGACCAATAAACTTAATAAACAATAACCTTCACCCAAGAGACGCGATAGTACCGATTCAAATCGTTCTCACTCGAACAATGAATATTATCGACAGGATCGCTCGCCCATCCCATCCCTATTGCGAATTACGGTTGAAGTTCCACACGAAATAGATCCGGAAACTATTATTTGGCTTCGTAGACAAAGTCGCCACGGTTGTTGGAATTGTGGTAACCGACGTCACGGTTATGAAGAATGGCCTTTTCCGTTGAAAGAATTTTGTCGCGAATGCGGAGAACCAGATGTTAAAACTGTCGATTGTCGCAATTGCGAAATAAACCGACAAAACATGAATCACACATAATTATTTGATTTATTAAACCTTACATAGTTTATTAATGACATACAAGTGAAATTTTTGTTTAGTTTAACATTAAAATGTCTATATTATATTGAAATGAGTTAATAGGTATAAGCCCAAAGATGACAAGTTTGGTTGTGATTGTATTATTTTTTGGTCTAGTCTAACATTGAGTTAATTATTATTACTTTATAGTATTATTTTGTTTAAGACCACGTTTTATATTGATCTCATTTAGTATTATTAATATAATAAGTAGACAATGTCAATTATTTTGTACTACCAATGGTTGTATTTATTAAAGTACATTATATTTCTAATTTTTGTATTTTTATTGAACTTAATATTAAAGAATCTGGTTTGTTTGAATGATTAATTTTTTTAAGATTTAACTGGACTTAAGATAATTAAGTTAAAGATTGGATTTTTGCATTTCCGAGTTGTTGAGTTTTCAGAGATGATCCCCGGGTATATTGACTTGCCGGAGGCAAGAAGTCCTTTCAGACCATTCCTAAATCCGGGAGAGTTGTAACGTTGTACAATTTAGATTGAAAATTTATTTTATTATTATCACTTTAATCACCATGCGGGTCGCCGAAAGCTCAACAATCTATTTACCTAACTACGGCCCTGAGATGGAGTCAATTTTCTACTTTTTACCGATTCTCTCTGGAAATATTATTGTTTTGCAAACTTGCCTGAGTATAATTGGATTTTTGCTATATTGCTGCCAAGTAGGAAAAATTAAGAAGTTATTTTTGTTAAAATGCTTCTAATTTCACGATTTCTTTGGGACCTGAGGTTACCATCACTCGCTACGTCACTGTCGGAGCAGACGACATTGAAGTGGGAGAAAGTAAAGGCCAACGCACAACTGCTTCGCGAAAGTCGTTCGCGAATGTAAAGCATGCGTTAGAAAAGGACACAAATATATCTCTGTTCTTTTCTAACCCATGCATTGCGTTCGCGAACGACATTCGCAAAGTAGTTGTGCTTAGGCCTTAAGCGGACGACCAAGAATCCGTCGCAAGATGGACACTTTCTCCTGACGACTCGCATGGTGTGGACGTGTGAGAACAGTTTTTCTTAGTGTGTGAAATATTACGAAAGAACACAACGACAATTGATCTGTGTGGTACTTAAGGTAGGACTGTTGCCTCTGTGTAGTTTCTTTGATTATCTGGGGATCATTCTCCGACAATTATTTTGTTTAATTTCGAGGTTACCTAGTGATTGAGTGGGGTTAATTAATTTATCTTTTCTTTCTTTGTTAAAGACAAACAATATCGGTTGACGGTGGTTTAGCCTGGTGGCCTTGTGCCCCGTGGTTGATATTGTTTGGTCAATTTCAAAGTAAATTCTCCGGATATAGCCTGGTGGCCTCGTGTTTCGGTAATTCCCCTACTCTATCGCTGGTTACCATTTGACAAATTTGTTACTAAAGTTTAAAGTTCAGTTGAGTTAATTGTAATTTCCGATTGTTTGAGCTGAGAGAGAGAGAGTAAAAATCAATTATTTTGAGGTTACCTTTTCCCTTTATTTTGTATTTACTCTGAATTCGTTATATAATTTGTAATTGGTTACCATTCCCTTTTATAAATTGTCAATTCCCGAATTTTGGTAAAAATAAATAATATATTTTTAATGAAACAAGTTAATCCTATTTATTGAGAATTCTGAACCTTTTTCCCTTTTTGCTATTCATTGTATTAATTGTCCCGGTAAATCATCAAGTTCTAAAATTTTTATTTATTTTTTAATTTTTTTTGGTATTTTATTGTCCCTGAAAGACTGGCGCCCTAAGTAAAATTTACTAATAGAACTCTCGATTCCGAAGTTGGACGAGAATGTAAGTCTTTGGCCAATTTGTTGATTTTGTTTGAGGAAAATTATAATTGAACAAAATTCTCGTCACAAAGCATAGTGCCCATTTTAATTGCTTGTTCTTTCAAACAGAAAAAGAAAAATGGGAAAAGTGCTAAGAAAAACTAGTAGTTAATCACAGGTACTTTATATTTGGTTAGATTTTATTCAATTTAATCACGAAGTAGTATAAGGAGACCTCACGCCAATGCTTAGCAGCGGCAAAAATCAACACATTTTGGGGGGTTAGAGTTATGAGTGTTTGCACCACTAGCAGAGGTTGCGCCATTACGGCTGAAATGTAAACCATGGCCGCCATAACACTTCGTCGTATTTCACCACCCCACTGACACGAGCAGTTGAAAAGTAAGCTAAACGTGACTGACGACCACTAGGGGCGCTAGTAGAAAATGAGGCCTAGTACATGAATGTGATTGGTTATTTAAGTTGTCCATAATCATAGAAATTTTAAACAACCAATCACATTCATGTACCTAGGCCTCATTTTCTACTAGCGCCCCTAGTGGTCCCAGTCACCTCTCACCATCCTTTTTGTATTGGAATTACATTACCGTGTCAGAGGGGTGTATTTCACTAATTTGTAGGTTATGTTCATATACAGTAGCAGACGAAAAATTTTAGTACAATAGTTTAACCACAGAGGCGCAACCTCTGCTACTGGTGCAATCTCCTATATCTCTGTCCCCCCAAATGTGTGCAGATTCTTATGTCCCGTTAGGTCTCCTTATACTACTTCGTGAATTTAATGATTTAGTGAATCATTTAGTGATTGAAATTTGCAAAATTAGGTTTTTTGACCGTCGAACTTTAAAATAAATTTTCTCACAGGCTGACAAAATTTTGACGAATCTCCGAACCAAGAACCTCAGAATTGCCCCATCACGTCAGGTTTTTCAGATATTTTAACCTAAAAGTGCCAAAAACATGTTTTTTGTGCATTTTTGAAGTCCTGTACAATAAAAAGACATTTTTTTTTCTAAAAGTTATTTACGGCATCTGAAAGAACTATTCTTCCCCTTTAAAATGCCTTTTCAAACTTGAAAAAATGTTTATTTCTCACTGAGATATCGTCATTTGAAGTTTTTGAATGTGGTCAGTATACGAATATTGACCAATTTACCACATTCAAAAACTTAAAATGACGATATCTTAGTGAGAAATAAAGATTTTTTCAAGTTTCAAAAGGCATTTTAAACAGGAAGAATAGTACAGTCAGGTCCCCATACTGTTAGATTCCAAACTGTTATGTCCTCAGTAGTGTTATGTTTTTGCATAACCTCCAAATTCAGAAGTGTTAGGTGACGTCATGTTACGTCACCAATTTTCAGGGCCGTATTCTTAAGCCTAAAGAAAAGGGGGCATATACTTCTAGGCCAAACTTGAGGTGTATATATTTACGTTCCTGAAAGGTGCGCAGTAGGCATACTTTGAGCACATAACAGAGCTGAGTCAGGAGGAGTGGGAAATTTCTGGAAATGTAACAGTATGGGGACCCGACTGTACTTTCAGATGCAGCAAATAACTTTTAGAAAAAAAAATTTCTTTTCATTGTACAGGACTTCAAAAATGCACAAAAAACATGTTTTTGGCACTTTTAGGTTAAAACATTTCAAAAACCTGACGTGATAAGGCAATTCTGAGGTCAGATTCGGATTCAGCACGTCAAAAACCTTCGGAAAAGTATTGTCCGGTTCTTGGTTCTGAGATTCGCCAAAATTTTGTCAGCCTGTGTATTTCTTATCATTAATTATTTCTATTAATTAAATTAAATCAATCTTAATAAATTCCAATAATTTTTTTACATTTTCATACCTTCAAAATCATTCTTGTAAAATATGGATTTGAGTAAAAATTTTTATAATAAATTGTGATTAACAAAAAAACAAGTATGCAAAAAAAAGATATCCATTTAAACTTGTCATTCTGAATGTTTCAAGTCTTTTTTACATCAACACTTATTGTTAGTAACTGGCAGACGCTGCCACATTCGGCGCGTGGGCACGACCGTGGAATGCAAAATTCAAAAATTAATTTCTCACGAATATCAAAAAACACCTCTCTGAAATTTACAGGGATTTTTGAGGACATTTTAAGCTTTCATTTTAATATTTTTTGGAGAAAAAAATTTTAGGACTTTTGGTAAATAAAAAAAATTATTATAAATTTATTGTTTAAATAAATAAATAATTTATTTTTTAATAAAATATTATTAATATTCAATAGATTCTCTACAATTTTCATATTGAACATTTTTTTGTAACTATAATAGATTTCGAAATAAAAATTGTTGAAAAAAGTGACTTAAAAGTTTAAATAACAATATCTTGCAAAATAATCGAAATTTTGCAAAACTATTTTTACAACTTATGTTTGTCCCCTAAGACAACAAAATGGCAAAGTATGAAGAAAATGTGACAATTTATAAAATATCCTTCAGGTTCTAGAAAAATTTTATCAAAACCCCAGAAAAATGTTACCAGATAAACCAAAGTGTAATCTCCATTCAAAGTCAGAGTACACTCTGATTTATCTAATAACAATTTTCTGGGGAATTTGAAAAATGTTTTAAAAATGTTTCTATAACCTGAAGTTTATTACACAAGTTGTCACAATTCATGTTTTTGAGAGGTTTGCTAAATACAAATCTGAAGTTGATATAAAAAAATTTGTTGGAAAATTTGAAAACCAGTTATTTGAAAATTTCAAAACAAAAAATTTTTGGATTGTTTTGAAAATCAACTACATAAACATGCTCCAGCTAAATTAGATGCTATACCGCTCAAGCAAGTGATTATAAATTGGAAAAAATAATTACCTCTTTTTTTGCAGTATGTTGGCAAAGTAAAAATAGCTGGTGCCTTCTTTGTTTTGGAATAATAATCCACCCTCGCTCTACTTCAGCGACTACTTGAATATACAATAAATTAAGTCCTACGGGATCATGCATCAATTCCAAATCGTAATTAATGTCCCAAAACCATTTTCCAAAAATTACTTTCATGTCATTTCTTTGAAGAGCTTTATGTGTTATAACGGGAGATTCAAAATCCTGAAGTTTACGAATAACTGTAAATAATATTCTCAATATTAAACTACAATTTTAAAGATATCCAATTGCGGAGTATTTTTAGTTATGAAAGCTGAATCTAAAAAAGAATTATAATGTTACTCTAAAAATGATCATCTTATAATTGAGTTTAAGTCAGCAATGAAGGTTGAATAATTCCAAAACTTTGTTTGGTAGTAAGAGTATGTTGGGCGCGTAAAATACCTCAGGTAACTTACGTGGTTTTTTACGGTAAAATACAAGGTAAATTATATATATATATATATATATATATATATATATATATATATATATATATATATTATAATTATATAATTTCGAAACTATCTGGTAAATTAAATTAATTAAATTAAAAATACATTAATGATTAATAGAAAATAGCATTTATTTATAAATTTACATATCTATGATTTAATAGGCGATTATACCCAAACACAACATTCTTTAATATTTTATTACAAATTAAGGAAGAATCAGACAAACAATCGGAACAAAACTTAGTCCAATGTCTTTTTATTTTAAATTACGAAATTATGACATTGGACTATAAGTTTTGTTTTGACTGTACATCAGATTCTTCCTTAATGTAAGGTGATCCACGATTTTGTTTAATTTCATGTTTTTGCAACATTGTTGACAACAAAATGTAAGGTTATAAACGTATTCATTTGAACCAAGTAATTTAACAAGTATTTTATCAATTTTTGACGTAAATTACCCGACTTAGGTATTTTACGTCAAAAACCTCGAGTGACGCGTCATTGCACAATCCTGAGTAAGATAGATGACACAAGATGTCAAGTTAATCTAATTAACGTTCAATTTGAGCCAGGGGCTTGATTCTTGAAGCTATGTGACACTCGAATAGTTTCAAGAATTGGGCCCCAGGTAATGAATATTGGTTTATCATGAACAATTAAGACCACTTCGCGTTATTGTTCTTTATAATTCTGTAACGCGCAGCGGTTGAATATTATAAGAACCACAAATCTGCCGTCCTTTTTAAAAAAGACACTATATAAATTTTAGCTCAATCGGAGATATTGAAGGAAACGCGTTTGCATCTGGATCTCTTAATAAAATTAAAAATGTTGTAAACAAACTTATGTTCTTTTAAAAAAAATTTTGGATTCGCTTGAAAATTATCATTCGGGGGTTTTCGGGGTCGATGATGATGAATCCGATGTCAGTTTTTCAAAATTCAAAATTGCGGATCCAATATGGCATACCGTGGAGATCCACTTCACCCATGAACTTATTGGAAAGGTGAAATGTGTTTGGACATTTCAATGGAATTTCAATTTTTGCACTTTCTTTATAGCTGTTCTATGAAACCGGCATTTTTAAAATTTGTTCTGCTTTTATGATAAAAACAAAATTTAAAAAAGAATGTCCGCCATATTGGATCCGACATTTTTAATTTTTAAAAACAGACATCTGATTCGTCATCAGCGACCCCGAAAACCCCCTAATGATAATTTTCAAGCGAATACAAAATTTAAAAAAAATGTCCGACATATTGGATCCGCCATTTTGAATTTTGAAAAACCATTATCATATTCGTAGTCAGCGACACCGACATTCCCCGAGTAACAAATTTCAGGTAAATTAGATCAATTTTTAAAAAAGTAATCCGCCATATTGGATCCGCCATTTTGAATTTTGAAAAACCGACAGCATATTCGTAATCAGCGACCTCGAAAACCCCCGAGTAACAAATTTCAGGTAATAAGTTATTAGAAATATATCCTTCCATAGTTTGATAATGTTGATAATGTATATGATATTGGGAAGGTAAGATTTGAATAAAAAATTCAAAAGTGTGTCGTTAAAAGAGCGACGTTTCGTTGGCTAACCTCATCAGGCTAAAATTTTATTAACCCCTTAACTGTTTGAGGAAAATGCAACATGATTGTCCCAAACTGCCCAGCGGAATCTGATACTTTTTCAAATAGTATAATATATTTAAATTATAACTAATTATTCAATTATTTTCTAAAATATCATTAATGACCCTTATAATTTCTTATAATTTTGACATAAAGAAAAATATCTATCAATTTATATACAAATTATATTTATTTTGAGTGATAGTGAACACGACCCACGGGTGGGTCGGAAACAGTTATGGCCATACTTTTTCACGACCCACCCGTGGGTCGGAAACAGGCAACGGGTTAAATACATAGGTTACACATCAGTATTTCTTTGGAAAGGTCTAAAAGCACTATTTCTATAAATTAACAATAATGATATACCTAAATTTCGTTAGAACATCGAACACATGCTAACACGTCAAAGATTAAAATTCTGTCAAAATATAATAAAAAATCACTCCACACTTATAAAAATAAAATTTAAAGTAGAGAGAAGACATTCTCACACAGCGATTTACTGTCAACTGAAAAGAAATTTAATTATCTTACAAAGTCGAACCAGGAAACACGTGAGAGAAGTCAATGAACCAAAACATAAACACATTCTTAAATGAGGTACAAGTTATATTGATTTTATTATTTTCTCTATGGACACGAGTCCATACGTCTAAGTAAAGGAAAGAATGTTTTGTTTAAGGTGAAGATATCTTCCTTTCTGTTGATAGTGGAATGATTTGTTTTTATATGGATCATTTCAGATATTCGTCTTTTTTTAAAATTAGGTTCATTATCCAATATTTTTGTATTTTCCCAATCAAAATCATGATTAAAATTTAAACGATGTCGATAGACCACAGAATTGTCATTTACTTTTTTATGTTCGTTGATGCGAGTTTGTAGTGATCGCTTTGTCTCTCCTATATAAGTTGCTGGGCAGTCTTTACAATCAAACTTATATACGACCATTAACTTTCTTGACTTGACACTCATTAGAGAAAATAATCATATAATCACTGACTGGTATCAAAAACCTACTTCTTCCGACAGACTAATTAATTATTTTTCAGATCATCCAATTCAACAAAAAAAGAATATTGTGTACAACTTAGTTGATAGAGCCATTTCATTATCCAATAAAAAATTCCATTTTGACAACTTGAAGAAAATTAGAAAAATTCTTAAAAACAATAGTTATCCTTTAGATTTTATTGAAAAACATATTGGTATTAGAATGAACAAATTAAAATATTCGAATGAGAATAATAACGATCAAAATAGAGTTAGTATATATAGTCAAATCCCCAAGGTTGCTTTGCCCTTTAATGAAAAATATTTCTTTAAGTTGTCAAATGTTCTTAGGGAATTTAATTGTACCTCTATTCCCATCGTTAACAAAAACTCTAATTCTATTATAAAATTGGGAAAAGATACAACTAAAAAATGGGATAAAACGAATGTCGTATATAAGTTTGATTGTAAAGACTGCCCAGCAACTTATATAGGAGAGACAAAGCGATCACTACAAACTCGCATCAACGAACATAAAAAAGTAAATGACAATTCTGTGGTCTATCGACATCGTTTAAATTTTAATCATGATTTTGATTGGGAAAATACAAAAATATTGGATAATGAACCTAATTTTAAAAAAAGACGAATATCTGAAATGATCCATATAAAAACAAATCATTCCACTATCAACAGAAAGGAAGATATCTTCACCTTAAACAAAACATTCTTTCCTTTACTTAGACGTATGGACTCGTGTCCATAGAGAAAATAATAAAATCAATATAACTTGTACCTCATTTAAGAATGTGTTTATGTTTTGGTTCATTGACTTCTCTCACGTGTTTCCTGGTTCGACTTTGTAAGATAATTAAATTTCTTTTCAGTTGACAGTAAATCGCTGTGTGAGAATGTCTTCTCTCTACTTTAAATTTTATTTTTATAAGTGTGGAGTGATTTTTTATTATATTTTGACAGAATTTTAATCTTTGACGTGTTAGCATGTGTTCGATGTTCTAATGAAATTTAGGTATATCATTATTGTTAATTTATAGAAATAGTGCTTTTAGACCTTTCCAAAGAAATACTGATGTGTAACCTATGTATTTAATAAAATTTTAGCCTGATGAGGTTAGCCAACGAAACGTCGCTCTTTTAACGACACACTTTTGAATTTTTTATTCAAATCTTACCTTCCCAAGATCATATACATTATCAACATTAAATTTTAGGTAATTTGGATTAATTTTTAAAAAGCCGTCCGCCATATTGGATCCGCCATTTTGAAATTTGAAATACCGACATCAGATTCGTAATCAGCGACCCCGAAAACCCCTGAGTAACAAGTTTCAGATAAATTGGACGATTTTTTAGTTTTGGCATTCTGGGCACATTTAGTGTTTTCCAGCCGGCAGTTAAGGGGTTAAGGAATTTCTACAAACATTTTCGGTACTTTTCATAAGAATGCTTTTGATCTTACCGCAATTCCAAGAAAACTATAATTAACTTGAAGGTCAAATAGGTCATATCTCGTGTATATAAAGAGGGCAATTTTTATAAACAAAATCATTCCTGCAGTTAAAGTTGGTTAATAAACATATTAGCAGAACAACGTCGTGAAATTCAAGTGTGCTTGAACAAGGTGAACGGTTTAAAGCAAAATCACAGTTAATTATTTTAGTGAAAAATAATCCTTCAAGATATATGATATTGGATTAGTATTTTATAGAGAGCGTTCACAAATGATGTGAAATTCACAATGTGGGGGGGGAGGTCGAAAGTCTCCAAAAATTGCGTGACATCATTTGTGAACGCTCCCATAGTAAATATTTCTGTAGTCTAATTTGGCGTATAACCTTTCTCAAAAACATGTTTAACTATACTTATACGTACTCTATCTCCAACTTTAAATTTCTTATTACATTGCCTGTTTACTACATTTTTTTTAAATAAAACATTTTACATTTAAACATTTTTTTACATTTAACAACAAATTATTTTCATTTTGAGCATTTACATCTTTTGGTTTCATTTTTATTGTCCGATGTTTACTATTATTATACGCATTTACGTATCTATCCATTTGTAATTACCGCGTAAACTGAATTGCATCC